TATTGTGTGTGTGTGTGTGTGTGTGTGTGTGTGTGTGTGTGTGTGTGTGTGTGTGTGTGTGTGTGTGTGTGTGTGAGAGAAAGAAAGAGCCACTGTGGACGGCAGCCATAACCATGATTAAATTGACTGACGGTGTTTTGTGTGGGATGAACTTGACCTCTCTGACCTCCTGAGTGCACAAGAGCCATCCATGTTTGCACACACAGAGCGGATAATCAAATTCATGCATGTAAAATAACTTCTGCACTCACACGAGCACAAAGATGCCAGCACACACATGCTCAGTTGATCTCTCCATCCTTGAGTGGAGGTGTGAGGGGTGGATGGGCTAATCGGACAGACTCCTCTGGGTGCTGTGGGATGTGACCCATCACCTGGCAGGGAAGACAGGCGAATCAAACAGACCGACTCTCCCCATTCACAGCAGGGGTCTCTTCGGGGAGCTAAACATGTTTGTGTGCAGGCATCTGGGGAGGAAGGGAAGCTCAACGGTGACACTTGGAAGTTGAGTTCAGCCCATCATCGATTAGAATCATTCTGGCTCGAGGAGAAAATCGAGGAAATATATCAAATAAGAAACGGCTTCAAAAACCATCAGTCATGAGTGGCTTGCCTGCAGAATAGGTCCGGAAGATATTACAGATAACCTCTTTGAAAGCTCGGCAACACTCCATATAGATTGTCAACCCATGTGTGTTAATCAGACATCAGGAAGCTTCTGGTCAGTGGAGCAGGGAATGGATTTTTTCTGTTCCTGACAGGGAGACGCCGTCCATAATGGTTCCTACCTGTGGAGAAATTACCAAGCCAGTCAGAACAGAGGAACATCAATCGGCGAACTTTCACTCCGCCTCAGACGCAGAGACGCGGTGAAAGCTGCCCTTAAAATGCACTCACTGGTTTGGATGAATTGCCTTGATTTTTTAAAGGACATTCTAAATGTTTAATTGAACTGTGAAAAGTGTGTTAAGGATTAATGCATAAATGAGGCAATATGGAGCCCAGGCAGGGAACTTTGCTGTCATTAGTACATTGTGGCTTCCTGCAACCGGAGACATTAATAAAGACGGGTTAATGGGATTGTGAGCCTACCAAAGCCATAGATGTGCTGTCTTGGGTTAACAGATATAATATGAGACACTAATGGATTTAGTGTCTCACATGGACAAGTGTTTTTGTTTTAACGGACTACTACTTACAAGTTAAATAAAAAATTACAGTGACCTTAGATAATCTGCAAAACAACCAAATTGTTGTTTATTAATCTTTCTACAAGTTAGCCTGATGACAAGTAGGCCTACTAATCACGTAAGAAATTAATTAATTAAAACTACCTGGCTTAAAAAAACAGTTAAGAGTCAAGTGTGTTTTTGCACAATTTACTTACTCAGCTATTTGGGAGAGAAAACGAAAACTTTTAGCAGGTTCTGATTTTTTTTCACTGCTACTTGATACAATAATTACGTGTCACGGGTAGGTTGAATATGTTAATGGTTGCTGTAATAATTCCTTTTCCACATGAAGTGGTCCCTTTGTACCGTGACTGCTCTGCAAGAAACTAACTTTCAGCTGAAAATGAAATGTTAGCAGTCTGAGATTCTTACAGTAGGTGCAAATTGTATACGTTTCTGTGTCGGCCATGAGGGTCACTAAGGGTCGGTTTGAACAGGATTTGAATGGCCTATATCTGGGGTGTGGTTGTGTTTTGAAGGTATCATGTTACTTTGTCTAAACACCTTCTCGATGTGCATATGGAATGTGAACAATTGTAATGTAAGACCAAGTAATCCTAGCCTTACCTTTTTTTAAATGTTGGCCACTTGAGTTCACAAAACAGTCAACATGTGCAATGTGATTGCAAACAGTTGCTCATTTAATAACTTGCATTTATTTGGAGTAATGTATCTATTCACCAGACAGAGAACTATGGCTCTCCTTTTAGCTCTGTTTTGGTCTCCACCTAATTCAGACAAGATGTCTTAGATCAGCTAAAAGCGCAACTATATTCAAGGGCTAGCTGCTAATGTTTTCTGTCTTGTTTGGTGCTCTTTAAGTGAACAGTGAGTTTATAAATGCACGTTTGTTTTAAAGAAGTTACCTGATGCACCCTGATCAACAGAGTAACAGTAGGCCTACAGTTGGGTGCCTTAAAATCCAAATCACCAAAAGGCACCTTTCATACTATACACATTTGATCAATCAATAATATAAATAATATTGATTACAGCAGTTCTTCATTTGTCTGTCTGGTCATACATTGTGTGCTTCTAAATGATTAGGCAGAGGTTACCCAAAACATCTTTACTAAATAATCCCTACTGTGCCAACATGTTGTTGCCCAAAGGGGGTTTATAAAGAGTGGCTGTGAATGTCTACGATGGTGGGCTGTACTAACACCCACTCCTCTCCTTCAGACTCACAAAGCTTTTTCTGTGCACTATAAGTTAAAAACGGTGACAGTAATCCTTCTCGTAGCATCCCCCAACCAGTCACGGCTGTCACCTTCTCCTCGCCAGGAAGAACTAAACTGCTCACTGGATTTAGGGGCCTATAGATTCCACTGCTACTTATAGTGCGCCAGTTCTGCCATGGTCTCGATGCAACCCACATTGACAGATACTAAAAGACTCCTCATCTAAAATAGAATTCCAATCTCACTGGGTTCAGAGTGTGATAAAACACAGAGCCCTCTTCAATTGTAACTAAACGAGATTAAAGAGGAAATGGGAGGGGGCAAATACAGATCATGGCTTTATTAACTATGGCAACAGAATTCTGAATGCGTGGAGAGGTGGATGAGAGAG